GCTGCGCGAGCTCTCGCGCGCGGACAGCGCGCGGCCTACGCGAGGAACGTCGGCGCCCGGCGCCGCGCCGCGGCCGCCGCCGCGCGACGCGCGCGCGCGCAGGTCTTCGCGGCGTCGAGCTGCCGGCGGAAGATCGACGGCGCCAAGCCCGCGGTGCTCAACCGCCACGTCTTCTTCTACGACTTCGGCGACCGCACGGCGCCGCCGCTGGCGCCGGCCGCGCCGCGCCCGCCCGCGCGGGCGCCGACCGCCGGTCCGGGACGCCGGGCCTCGCGGCGCGCGAGCTCGGTCGCGTCGGCGCGTCCTCGGCCGACGCGCGCGCGCGCCTCGTCGAGCGCCCCGCGGAAACGCGAGGACCTCGCGCGACGCGGCCGACGACGCGCGCGCGGACGGCGACGGGACGCTCCGCGCGCCGCCCAGGCCGCCGCGCGGGCCCGGCGAGGGCGTCATCCACGTCAACCTCCTCCGCGAGCCCGCGAGTCGCGCCGGCGCGCCGCGGGCCGCCGCCCGGCGCCACCGCCGGCCCGCGCACGCAGGTGAGCCGCTGCGTGAGCCGCTTCTACTACGAGCGCGACGCGCGCGGCACCGTCGCCGCCGACGTCGCGCTCCGTGTGGAAATCAACCAGTGAGCCGGGACGTCGGGGCCAAACTTCAGAGATCTCTAGCTCGGTCAAATCGAAGTCGATTCGGCTGATTTTTGGACGGATCGATTGCTCTCGTCGAGTTCTCGAAGCACAGCGGAAGTGCTCGTGTCGAAACATTCGGATACGCGCACATTCAATCCGACAATGATTGAATTTGCACGCAGGTCACGCTCGACGCGTGCATGGACCGCGGCGACGCGCTCTGCGCGTTCTGGGCCTTCGACGGCGCGGGCGCCGCGCCGCCGACCCGCCCGCGGCCGCGCCGCCGACCCGCGCGACGCCCAGGCGACGCGGACGCGGTCTCGCACGGCCTCGGCGGCTTCTCGCGCGCGCGCCAGCTCACGGAGGAGTGCGCGTCCAACTACCTCACGCGCTGGTTCTGCGGCCACGACCCGGCGCGCGCGCCGGCGCCGGCGCGGGGGGGGGGGCG